ACCTTCGCCCATTCTGCTCCATGCTTCCCGATCATATTCAGTCGGCCATCTTCTCGCACCCCTTTCCATTCTTTCCTACCTACCCTCCGTCAAAATGTCGCCGTCCTCTCTCTCTCTCTCTCTCTCTCTCTCTCTAGTCTCTAGTCTCAACAGACATTGAGAAGATAAAATATTATCCAGTGTTAAATCTTCTCTTATGTTCTCCAAATTTTTCTAAACTTAGAAAGAGGTAGAAAAGCATCCACATGAGGATAAGCAAATCTTTATGCTCCTAACCATTATCTTCAAACAAGTGAAAATAAAGGACACAACAAACAGAAATTACAGCAAATAATGAATCAGGAAGAAAAAACTAAGCAAGTTAACTTTTAAGCCTCGCAGATAACAAATGCAGGTTAGCTACCACATAAACTTCTACCCAACCAGAAATTCTATCAACACAAGCAGTAGAAATTGTGGACATGCAAATTAATTTGATTCAGAAATGAAAATCCATTGATTTAAAAACTGCATCCAGAAATTTCAGTATCTGGGACAATTACACATGACAATAGTGCCATTCACCATACCTTTCATCAATGCAGTCAGCTTCACAATCCCACCATAATAGCCAAAAACTCGACAATTATGCATGGAACGAAGGACGATGGTTAAAGCATCCAAGACAGGTAACCCTTCAGAAGTTATATTCAAGCTTGTTGAAGCCCCTGGTAAGTCCATTGTAAGCAACAAGTTCGTGTTTACTGCATTAATAAGATTTTACCAACTCATAAAGTTAAGACAAATCGTATTTCAAAAAAGATAAAGTTAAGACAAATTGAAAAGCAATTCCAAAGTTATTCAGAATTGTTTAATTAAAAAAAAACTCATTCACAGTAATAAATCTTGTCACTAAAGGATCAAGTGCAATGAAATTGCGGGTATGGTTGGCATCAAAAGAAGCAAGTCTTAGAAGTTATCACTGTGTCTATTTTATAGGTTATACGTGAAGAAAAAAAACAAAGAGCTTTTGAGGACATTTGTCAACGGTGCATAGCCATAATAGGAATTTATTTATGAAATTTACTATTGGGTCACTTACAAGTTTTTTATTTAAGAGTCTTAAAGTTAGAAGTTTATTTTTATTAATATTATTTTCTATTTGTATTAGAATTAATATTCTTGATTCTACTAACTTATTATTTCATAGTTTAATTCAATTTAAGAAAAAGTTACTTAGAGAATATTATAAATGGTTTTGTAATTTCACTTATTGATCATTCAAGTATTCAATAATAATTTTAAAAATTTCTTATAATCGAGTGTAACTCAATCAAACATTAGCTGTGATGTCTAAGAATCCTAGGGATGATATCTAGGTTTTTGTCAATAGTAGGCAAATTAATCTTAATTTATCCTATATCATTTATATTCCTTTTAGCAGAATTACATATCATTTCATAGATTCTTTTAGAAAATAAGTGCATACATGTAAACTAAGATATACTCCCATCATGTCAGAGAAAATAAATAGAAAACATTAAAATGAAGCAAATATTATTGGTCTACAATTGCCTCCCAATTCCTTCATGAATTGAAAAAGGTGATCCCCTAAAAAATCCATACCCCTTAGCCCTTAAAGAGACAACAAATTTTTGGTTCTAAATCCTATGCATTTTGGCTAAAAATATTTTTTTTTTAAATAAAAAATATAAATATATTAACAGAGCACCAAGAAGGTGTAACCCATGTATATTTTGGCTAAAGATCACTTTCTAATTAGGTGGAGAAAATTTTGGGGACCTTATGTAAATTCATTTTGTACTATATGGCATCTGCTTAATTACCCTGTTACATAATTCTCTTTTTCTTTCAAAAACATTGAAAAAAAAAATGTTTCCTCCCACTAAGTATTCAAGATCAGAAAACAAAAGTTAAAGAGCAAAGGAAAAAAGATTGNNNTTGGAATCGTAGTGTTACTCTACCAAGGCATTATCTGCTTGTTATATCAACATCTACTAGAAAGAGAGACTCTCGAGTCTTGACATCTGATCACTAAAGAAAGAATGTTAGTGAATAGGATAACAAGGACATACACTCAATTTTTTTTCTGAAATAAACAAATAAAAGCACTCAAATAAATAATACTTTATTTACGAATATTTTATAAGAAGCATTTAAATTTCAACTTACACTCAATGATCCAAGTAGTTAATTGTGCAACTTCTTCAATCAATGTAAGAATGACTTCTGCTGGATGGCCAGCGGAGCAACCAATAACTGTATCATCAAAAGATAACAAATACTCCGCAGGCTGGGTAGCTGTTGAAGCACCTTCTGGCAGCTGTCCACCATTAGCAGGTTCCCAGTTCTTGAAGAAAATTAGAAATTCTTTGAGGAAAACATGAAACAACTTTCTCCTTTCCACCTAAAATAAGGTAATAAAAAATAAATATAAATCCCATACGAAAAATCTCGAAATAGTTGTATACCATACAAACAAAGGAAATATACTCATTTAGAACCCCAGCAACCATCAAGTTAAAAACTGATGCTAGGGGTAGTATTTTTTCGTTACTTTCGGAACCGTGGAGGTACCCCTCCCCTCTCAAGAGAGAGGAGTTTTGAGTTTCTTGAGTTCCTTTATAAAGGAGATGGCATTAAAAATAAAGCTAGGATACTCCGGGGAGGTGCACCTTTTCTTGGGCTATGGGTTTTGTCACTGGAGCAGAATGATGGAATCTTCAAGAATTGCTACCCTTGTTCTCGCATTCTTTGGAATAGAGTGACTTTCTTGGCTATGTGGCTAAGACACATGATTGTTACAGAGAAATTTCTTGATCTTTGTTACATGGGACATGGGATAACACTGAGGATCCAGGGGGCCAAGGGAACTAACAACTAAGTTCAGCACTATGTAACTGACACCTTGTGGAAATAACTTATCTGAACAGGAAAATTTAATTATCATTAACAGTTTGTTTATTTGCTAAATGCCATTAATTTTCGAAGTGTATAAACAGATAGTGCTCATAGTGCAGTCCCTCCATTTTTTTGCCTGTCTCTCCAGTCATCTATGACCAGCCAAGGCTTTTCAATATCGCTGATTAAACTAAGGAAATCATTGATGGTTGAAACAAATTTGATGCAGTACTGGAAAGAGGATTAGAGACATGCCAAGGTTAACAGAAAATGGAAAAGGAAACAGAGTCTCCTATCTTTTTATCTGGCAATCAGTTGGTTTTCCAGATCTTTATGTGAGTTCTTTCGGTTTAGAGGGCACAATTCATGGATACTCAGCCATAAAGGAGAAAATCGTATCCTTCCTATTTTATTGGATTGTAACAACGGG